AACAAGAACATTAAGACAAGTTCACACACCAGGAGTGATCATGATAGCATGGTGGCATGGGGGTCAGCAGTCCCGGGCCAGGTTCATCCAACTCCCAGAGCAAGTATATGGAACCGCGCCCCCTTCCCGACTGCTATTGCATATTGTAGGATGGGTGGACTGCCCTGCAACCACTCTTTCCCCCTTGCTATGCTGTGCCAGGGAAGCTGCCCCTCCTGACAACCCCTTGTCCCAGTCCTGGAGACAGGATCGATGTTGTAACATTGAAGATATCTCAGGTGGAGATGGTAAGCCAAAGACCTAGTGGTCCCACACAACTCCCCAAACTCTTTGTTCCGTGAGATGTTCCATTCCACTGACGTTATAAAACTGTCCAATGGCTGGGTGTGGGTGAGATTCCATTCCACAGACGTCTATAAAATTGTCCAATGGCTGGGGGTGTGGGGTGAGATGTTCTATTCCACAGACGTCTATAATATTGTCCAATGGCTGGGTGTGGGGTGAGATGTTCCATTCCACAGACGTCTATAAATTGTCCAATGGCTGGGTGTGGGGTGAGATGTTCCATTCCACAGACGTCTATAATATTGTCCAATGGCTGGGTGTGGGGTGAGATGTTCCATTCCACAGACGTCTATAATATTGTCCAATGGTGGGTGTGGGGTGAGATGTTCCATTCCACAGACGTCTATAATATTGTCCAATGGCTGGGTGTGGGGTGAGATGTTCCATTCCACAGACGTCTATAATATGGGTGTGGGTGAGATGTTCCATTCCACAGACGTCTATAATATGGCTGGGGTGGGTGGGGTGAGATGTTCCATTCCACAGACGTCTATAATATTGTCCAATGGCTGGGTGTGGGGTGAGATGTTCCATTCCACAGACGTCTATAATATTGTCCAATGGCTGGGTGTGGGGTGAGATGTTCCATTCCAGACGTCTATAATATTGTCCAATGGCTGGGTGTGGGGTGAGATGTTCCATTCCACAGACGTCTATAATATTGTCCAATGGCTGGGTGTGGGGTGAGATGTTCCATTCCACAGACGTCTATAATATGTCCAATGGCTGGGTGTGGGGTGAGATGTTCCATTCCACAGACGTCTATAATATTGTCCAATGGCTGGGTGTGGGGTGAGATGTTCCATTCCACAGACGTCTATAAATTGTCCAATGGCTGGGTGTGGGGTGAGATGTTCCATTCCACAGACGTCTATAATATTGTCCAATGGCTGGGTGTGGGGTGAGATGTTCCATTCCACAGACGTCTATAATATTGTCCAATGGCTGGGTGTGGGGTGAGATGTTCCATTCCACAGACGTCTATAATATTGTCCAATGGCTGGGTGTGGGGTGAGATGTTCCATTCCACAGACGTCTATAATATTGTCCAATGGCTGGGTGTGGGGTGAGATGTTCCATTCCACAGACGTCTATAAAAATATTGTCCAATGGCTGGGTGTGGGGTGAGATGTTCCATTCCACAGACGTCTATAATATTGTCCAATGGCTGGGTGTGGGGTGAGATGTTCCATTCCACAGACGTCTATAAATTGTCCAATGGCTGGGTGTGGGGTGAGATGTTCCATTCCACAGACGTCTATAATATTGTCCAATGGCTGGGTGTGGGTGAGATGTTCCATTCCACAGACGTCTATAATATTGTCCAATGGCTGGGTGTGGGGTGAGATGTTCCATTCCACAGACGTCTATAATATTGTCCAATGGCTGGGTGTGGGGTGAGATGTTCCATTCCACAGACGTCTATAATATTGTCCAATGGCTGGGTGTGGGGTGAGATGTTCCATTCCACAGACGTCTATAAAGCTGTCCAATGGCTGGGTGTGGGGTGAGATGTTCCATTCCACAGACGTCTATAAAGCTGTCCAATGGCTGGGTGTGGGGTGAGATGTTCCATTCCACAGACGTCTATAATATTGTCCAATGGCTGGGTGTGGGGTGAGATGTTCCATTCCACAGACGTCTATAAATATTGTCCAATGGCTGGGTGTGGGGTGAGATGTTCCATTCCACAAGACGTATAATATTGTCCAATGGCTGGGTGTGGGGTGAGATGTTCCATTCCACAGACGTCTATAATATTGTCCAATGGCTGGGTGTGGGGTGAGATGTTCCATTCCACAGACGTCTATAATATTGTCCAATGGCTGGGTGTGTGGGGTGAGATGTTCCATTCCACAGACGTCTATAAAGCTGTCCAATGGCTGGGTGTGGGGTGAGATGTTCCATTCCACAGACGTCTATAATATTGTCCAATGGCTGGGTGTGGGGTGAGATGTTCCATTCCACAGACGTCTATAATAGCTGTCCAATGGCTGGGTGTGGGGTGAGATGTTCCATTCCACAGACGTCTTTATAATATTGTCCAATGGCTGGGTGTGGGGTGAGATGTTCCATTCCACAGACGTCTATAATATTGTCCAATGGCTGGGTGTGGGGTGAGATGTTCCATTCCACAGACGTCTATAATATTGTCCAATGGCTGGGTGTGGGGTGAGATGTTCCATTCCACAGACGTCTATAATATTGTCCAATGGCTGGGTGTGGGGTGAGATGTTCCATTCCACAGACGTCTATAAAGCTGTCCAATGGTTGGGTGTGGGGTGAGATGTTCCATTCCACAGACGTCTATAATATTGTCCAATGGCTGGGTGTGGGGTGAGATGTTCCATTCCACAGACGTCTATAATATTGTCCAATGGCTGGGTGTGGGGTGAGATGTTCCATTCCACAGACGTCTATAATATTGTCCAATGGCTGGGTGTGGGGTGAGATGTGTTCCATTCCACAGACGTCTATAATATTGTCCAATGGCTGGGTGTGGGGTGAGATGTTCCATTCCACAGACGTCTATAAAGCTGTCCAATGGCTGGGTGTGGGGTGAGATGTTCCATTCCACAGACGTCTATAATATTGTCCAATGGCTGGGTGGGGTGAGATGTTCCATTCCACAGACGTCTATAAAGCTGTCCAATGGCTGGGTGTGGGGTGAGATGTTCCATTCCAAAGACGTCTATAATATTGTCCAATGGCTGGGTGTGTGGGGTGAGATGTTCCATTCCACAGACGTCTATAATATTGTCCAATGGCTGGGTGTGGGGTGAGATGTTCCATTCCACAGACGTCTATAATATTGTCCAATGGCTGGGTGTGGGGTGAGATGTTCCATTCCACAGACGTCTATAATATTGTCCAATGGCTGGGTGTGGGGTGAGATGTTCCATTCCACAGACGTCTATAATATTGTCCAATGGCTGGGTGTGGGGTGAGATGTTCCATTCCACAGACGTCTATAATATTGTCCAATGGCTGGGTGTGGGGTGAGATGTTCCATTCCACAGACGTCTATAATATTGTCCAATGGTGGGTGTGGGGGTGAGATGTTCCATTCCACAGACGACGTCTATAATATTGTCCAATGGCTGGGTAGTGTGGGGTGAGATGTTCCATTCCAAAGACGTCTATAATATTGTCCAATGGCTGGGTGTGGGGTGAGATGTTCCATTCCACAGACGTCTATAATATTGTCCAATGGCTGGGTGTGGGGGGTGAGATGTTCCATTCCACAGACGTCTATAATATTGTCCAATGGCTGGGTGTGGGGTGAGATGTTCCATTCCACAGACGTCTATAATATTGTCCAATGGCTGGGTGTGGGGTGAGATGTTCCATTCCACAGACGTCTATAATATTGTCCAATGGCTGGGTTGTGGGGTGAGATGTTCCATTCCACAGACGTCTATAATATTGTCCAATGGCTGGGTGTGGGGTGAGATGTTCCATTCCACAGACGTCTATAATATTGTCCAATGGCTGGGTGTGGGGTGAGATGTTCCATTCCACAGACGTCTATAATATTGTCCAATGGCTGGGTGAGGGGGGTGAGATGTTCCATTCCACAGACGTCTATAATATTGTCCAATGGCTGGGTGTGGGGGTGAGATGTTCCATTCCACAGACGTCTATAATATTGTCCAATGGCTGGGTGTGGGGTGAGGTCGTTAGGACAACCAGTGCCAGGAATCGGTTCTCCTAGCTGCTGTTTAGAATTCGGTTCGCTAGTTTTTTTGGACTGTCTGGATACCCCATGAAATGGTAATTCCAAAAGGCAATGGAGAGGGTCTAAGAGTAAGGACACGTCTAAAATATTTTTTCAAGAGGGGCTTCATGATTGGCTAGAATTGGCACCAGGTCCCTCTCCCCACTCCTGTCCTGATAGAACACTGGCCCTGCTGCTGAGGCCGAACCCTCCTTCATCTTGTCCACATTCCCCGCCGTTGACCTTTCTATCCACAAGGAAGGAATGTCCACACATAAAAGGAGATTTGGTGCAATTTGCTGATGGAATTCAAGACGTGGCATAACAGTCACATCACATCCACATATATTCCGGAGTCACTTGACATTGCGCAGTCCATCACATTAGTGGGCGGTTCGCAGCAGTCACATGTGAAAGCATATGAAGCACTTCAGCAGCCATCTCTTTGTTACAACCTCTCATTCACTTAGGGTCATTAGTACTCACAGGACCGGGCTCTCTGTAGTCACCTCCTCCTTAGGAACACCTCTCTGGGGACCCTCTTGGAAGTAGGGAACTCTCCACCTGGCCTGAAGGGTCTTTTGCAACCCTGGCCCCCAGCTCTATCAGAGTCAGTCTACAGGTGGATCTTCCTGGGTGCAGGTCCCCTGCCCTATCCAGGGCCTACCCATGCAGGTTACATCCACATAGCTATGGGGTGTTCAGCTACCATGCCCTTAGTATTTGAGGGCTCCTTCTAACCTGGCTTACACCTGGGCTCTGGTTCACCCGTGACATCACTACCAGAGGGCCTGACCTAACAGGGGCCTGACACCTGATGACTCTATTCGATTCTGATACAGAGCCACCCACTGGCCAAATGGCTAATGGCACCTGACAACCAGGGGTGGACTGACCATTTGGAAACTCGGGGGGCCCCATGAGATGCCCCTGGTACCTTTTTCATAGGCTTTTTTGAGTTTGGGCAAGGACACAGGGGCCCCATGATCCCCTATTGCCCGGGGGCCCCATGAGTTGTCAGTTCACCCCTGCTGCCAACATATTGTCAAGTATAGACTTTGCCAAAATAGGGAAGTCTTCCCCTGGCCACGTCTCCAGAAGAATTCAGATGGCCTCGGATTCCACCCGTAGGATGCCACGTCTCCAGCAGAGCTCAGATGGCCTCTGATTCCACCTGTAGGATGCCACGTCTCCAGCAGAGCTCAGATGGCCTCGGATTCCACCCGTAGGATGCCACGTCTCCAGCAGAGTTCAGATGGCCTCGGATTCCACCCGTAGGATGCCACGTCTCCAGCAGAGCTCAGATGGTCTCGGATTCCACCCGTAGGATGCCACGTCTCCAGCAGAGCTCAGATGGCCTCGGATTCCACCCGTAGGATGCCACGTCTCCAGCAGAGCTCAGATGGCCTCGGATTCCACCCGAAGGATGCCACGTCTCCAGCAGAGCTCAGATGGCCTCGGATTCCACCCGTAGGATGCCACGTCTCCAGCAGAGTTCAGATGGCCTCGGATTCCACCCGTAGGATGCCACGTCTCCAGCAGAGCTCAGATGGCCTCGGATTCCACCCGTAGGATGCCACGTCTCCAGCAGAGCTCAGATGGCCTCGGATTCCACCCGTAGGATGCCACGTCTCCAGCAGAGCTCAGATGGTCTCGGATTCCACCCGTAGGATGCCACGTCTCCAGCAGAGCTCAGATGGCCTCGGATTCCACCCGTAGGATGCCACGTCTCCAGCAGAGCTCAGATGGCCTCGGATTCCACCCGTAGGATGCCACGTCTCCAGCAGAGCTCAGATGGCCTCGGATTCCACCCGTAGGATGCCACGTCTCCAGCAGAGCTCAGATGGCCTCGGATTCCACCCGTAGGATGCCACGTCTCCAGCAGAGCTCAGATGGCCTCGGATTCCACCCGTAGGATGCCACGTCTCCAGCAGAGCTCAGATGGCCTCAGATTCCACCCGTAGGATGCCACGTCTCCAGCAGAGCTCAGATGGCCTCGGATTCCACCCGTAGGATGCCACATCTCCAGGAGAGCTCAGATGGCCTCAGATTCCACCCGACCTCTGAGAGAGTCTTCCACCATGTGGTGTGGTTCCGTCCTCCATCCCGACGTTCCAGGACACAGGCATAATGTAGGTGTCGGAGGATGTCATGGCGGCCCAGGGTGGGGTGCACCGGCCTCCGACATCCCCCGGTGCTGAAGAGTCGTACAAAAGGTGGCAATGGAGGAACTTCCACACAAAGAATGTTCACTATGTCTGACCGTCTGCTGTCATCTTCATCCATTATCTCTGCAGACAAACATTCCTATGTATTCTATACCGCGCCTCCTACACGTCATCCCCTCCGTGGCCCCTCTGACCCCCATACACGGCCAGCACTCAGCCTGACGGATTGTGCTGTCTATTGTCTCTGAATTCTTTTCAATGGGCGAGTATTCGGTGTTCCCATCAGTGCCTGTTGTCGGCGTTCATCAAAGTGTTCGCCTTTCAGTGACATGAAACAATCCTGACAGAACACGTCCACCTTTCATCAGTAAAAAGCCGTCCTTGAGCTCAAGTCTAGGCTGAGATGACATCATCAGTCTGCTGCAGGCATGAGGAAGCATTTCCTTAGTCTCCCCTCCTCCAGTGATCAGACTGTACATTGTAACTTTGTAGGAGGAGGAGGAGGCATTTCCTCAGTCTCCCCTCCCCCCGGTGATCAGACTGTACATTGTAACTTTGCAGAAGGAGGAGAAGTAATTTCCTCAGTCTCCCCTCCCCCAGTGATCAGACTGTACATTGTAACTTTGTAGAAGGAGGCGGAGTCATTTCCTCAGTCTCCCCTCCCCCCCCCAGTGATCAGACTGTACATTGTAACTTTGTAGAAGGAGGCGGAGTCATTTCCTCAGTCTCCCCTTCCCCCAGTGATCAGACTGTACATTGTAACTTTGTAGAAGGAGGAGGAGTTATTTCCTCAGTCTCCCCTCCCCCAGTGATCAGACTGTACATTGTAACTTTGTAGAAGGAGGAGGAGTTATTTCCTCAGTCTCCCCTCTCCCCAGTGATCAGACTGTACATTGTAACTTTGTAGAATGAGGAGGAGGAGTTTCCTCAGTCCCCCCCCCCCAGTGATCAGACTGTACATTGTAACTTTGTAGAAGGAGGAGGCATTTCTCCCCTTCCTCTGCTCTCAGCTTCTGACAGGTTTTCCTGACACTAAGAAAAATAATAGTGACGGGGGAGGAGCTTCAGCACACCGCCTGTGATTGACAGCCTCTGCTCTGTTCCTGTGTGCTGTGTGGAGAGGGGTGTGTCCATTCCCTCCAATCAGCTCTCACTGAGCTTTGCAGTCTATAACTTCAGATCCCTGCCCCCCTGCTTTCTGAAAGCTCAGACAAGCTGTATAAATTCTGGGGCTGTAGAGAAGAGAAGGATTCAGAAAAACAGGTACAACTTATGTAGGAGGATTTGTCTCTCTGTATCCCCTGCACTGGGTATATGGAGGGTTTACAACCACGTTGATTGGAGAGCTGTAGTTCTGGCTCAGCGGGCGTGCTGGACCTCTGCAGAAAGATCTCTGCTTCCATCCGGGGTTTTTTAACGGAAGAAACCCCTATTTTTTTTTTGTTAAAAAAAAAGGAACGGATGAAAAATGGATGTAAACAAACAAAAACGGATGTAAACAGATGAAAAATGGATGTAAACAGATGAAAATTTATATAAACAAACAAAACCGGATGTAGACATATGAAAATGGATGTAAACAAACAAAACCAGATGTAATTAGATGAAAATTGATGTAAACAAACAAAAACAGATGTAAACAGATGAAAATGGATGTAAAAAAAAATGGATAAAAAAAACAGATGTAAACAAAAAAAAAAAACGGATGTAAACAGATGAAAAACTGATGTAAATGGATGAAAATGGATATAAACAAACAAAAACAGATGTAAAAAGATAAAAATGGATGTAATCAAACAAAGCCAGATGTAAACAGATGAAATGGATGTAAACAAACAAAAACAGGTGTAAATAGATGAAAATGGATGTAAACAGATGAAAAATGGATGTAAATGGATGAAAATGGATATAAAAAAAAACAGATGAAAAACTGGCATAAACTGATAAAAAAGGGTATAAAAAAGGATGTAAACTGATGGAAAAAGGATGTAAACAAACAAAAACTGATGTAAACAGATGAAAAATGGATGTAAAAGGACAAAAATTTATATAAACAAACAAAAATGGATGTAAACTGAGAAAAATGTATATAAACAAACAAAAATGGACGAAAAGTGATATAAATAAACATAAACAGATGGAAAACTGACATAAACTGATTAAAAAAACGGATATAAAAAAAGGATGTAAACTGATGGAAAAAGGATGTAAACAAACAAAAATGGATGTAATTAGAGGAAAATTGATATAAACAAACAAAAACGGATGAAAGACTGAAATAAACTGATAAAAAAACAGATATAAAAAGAATGTAAACTGCTGAAAAACCGATGTGAACTGATCTGTTTTTTTTTGGAAAAACCGTGACTGAACGGCTCGCCGGTGTGAATGGGGCCCAACCTTCGTCCATCTTTCATTCCATGGATATTACGCCGGTCCGGCCGTCCACGTGGCCCGCGATCCATCGAAGATGCGGTGTTTGCGGCAGCTGCCAAGGAGTTAACGGCGCGCGTTCCCCGGGACGCTTCTCGGGATCGATATCCTTGACTGGCTGAAGGGAATTTCTTCTAATAAATATAATGAAATCAGACGAGGAGTGAGTGGCGGGCGGCGGCCGTATCCTGCGGACAAATGAATGGCGGACAGAGATAGATGGCCGCGGTTTTAATTAACAGACAGGTCGTTCCCCTAATCCGTGCAGCCGGAGCCGCCAGTGTGAAGGTGAGGCGCACCGCGGCGAGGAGGCAATGTCATTTCATCGTCATTACTGACCATCACACGGGGATCAGCCATTGTCACCCGCCGCGTCCGCCGAGCCATAATGAAGAAAGAATTGCTGCGCGGGGAGGACGGGCGGGAAACAATGGCGGCCTGCGATTGGCGAGAAGTCATTTACATTCTGCGATACGTTGTTCAGGCGCGATGATTTATTGAGGCCGGCAGTTTATAGATGGGAAAATGTGACTGAAGAATGAGAAGAGCTATTGATAGTATCGCACGCAGGAAGGCGCGAGCCGCACGAGAGACGCGGGGGGGGGGGGGGCGCGATGTCCACCAATCCGCTGCCAGCGTCCGGGATAACAGTCATGTGACTCCAGACACATCTCTGCTCTGTCAACATTCAATGTAAAAAATGTCTAATAGAATTTTTTTTTTAACTTTCTTTTTTTCCATTATTTTTGACTTATGAAAATCCAATGCAAGTCGTGGCACAGCGATACGTGGCAGCATGTCGCCTCTGGAGACATACAATGTAGCAACATACGTGGCATGAGAACAGCAATGTATATTACATGGCATCAAGTTGTTGCAGCAGAAGAAAGTCCCTGTTGTAACGGAACTGGACCCTGACTGCACTTGGGTACTTCTGTTAGGATACCGCTTCCCCGTCCGAACACCGACCACAGACACCACCACTGACCATACACCCCCACTGACCACGGACACCACCGCTGACCATACACCCACCACTGACCACGGACACCACCGCTGACCATACACCACCACCGACTTCACCACCGACCACGGACCCCATCTCTGACCATACACCACCACCGACCACCGGACACCACCGCTGACCTCATACACCACCACTGACCACAGACACCACCGCTGACCATACACCACCGACCACTGACCTTACCACCACCATACACACCGACCACGCTTCACACCACCGACCACCACACCATCGCTGACCATACACCACCACGACCCCGACCACAGGACACCACGCTGACCATACACCACCACCGACCACGGACACCACCGCTGACCACGGACACCACCACCGCTGACCACGACACCACCACTGACCACAGACACCACCCTGACCACACACA